CGTCGGCTTGCCTTCGGATTCTTCTCCAGTCTCACCGTCTGCGTCGCTACCTTTATGACTGCGGGGGGATGTTGAGTATCGTGATTATTAGGAAAGCTAGGATAGCGTAGGATATTATTCTACCTTGCCTTGTACTCCAAGATGATCATGTACTCCTATATATATGCCCATGAGGCTCAAGCAATACAACGAATTATTCCACCAAACCTCTCTCTCCCTTCCAACATCATGACAACACCGGCAAGCAGCGTTGAGCCGTAGAAGATGGCACCAATCGTGCCGACAAAGAAGCACTGGAAAGCCGTGGCTGAACTAACGAGCATGAAGTAGTAGCCTGCCTCGCCGAGGTCGAACCTCCGTGCTTCGTCTGGAATTTCCTGCACTCTTTCAAGGGAAATCCTTAATTTCTTTCAGTTACTGGTGTACCCATGAGGCACACCATCCTTGCTTGGCACCATGACCCATTGGGTATTTTTCGCTAGTTACTAGCCTATTTTCTAACATGTTACCATGTGCTTAACTTGGTACCCATACAATTGCAACATCATAAATTATTGGGTTGAACTTATGTTTCAATGAACTTTTTTTGCACTCTTTTATTACCATGTAACTAATTAACATTCTTGACACCAGCCATTTGGTAAAAAGTTACCACGTGGGAACTTTGATACTGATAAAGTGATCATAAACCATTTTTTTTCAAGTTGGTGTCATATGTTACATATGTTATTGATCTTATTATGTTACATATGCTATTAATCAGATTCATATTCGAATTCTCATCTGAACGAATCGAACACGTCTTAGTGTCCCCATCCATACATACTTGTCGTTTTAGAAGTGAGCACAATAGTCTTGACATTCATAAATACATGTCGTTTTAGAAATGAGCACAATCTTCAACATGCATTACAATATATAAACAATTTCTTCTTAAGAAATCTAATATTATCTTCATCTATCCAGGAAATCCAATCATATACTCCCTCCATCTCTTATGGAAGGTCACGATGAAAAATATATTTTGCATCTATACAAGGCCACTAACAGTAATCGAGTCAAAAATTAATAATATTTTTTCGTACTAACAATTTATTTCATACTTGCATGCATGTAGATAGCGTTAGGACTCGATCAACGATGCATGGGTGGAGACGGGGAGTGTACTCCCTGCGCATAGCACTGTTTGATCGCGAGGTGCTCGTGCCGCGCGGTCCATGCGGGCCTATCGTTTTCATAAGATCTTGTTACTATGTCAGCGATGCAAGCGTGTAATTAATAATACTACTGCCAGCCCTGACAACAGTGTGGTTGGCTGGTTGCGATCTTAATTAACGGCAGCAGCAATAGTGCAGTTGTACGAAAGAGACCTGCATTTGACAAACTTACGTGGAATTCGCGGTTCACGAGCATGCCGACGGCGCTGAAGGCCGTGGCCGTGATCCCGATGACCATCTGGATCTCCAAGACGAGCGTGTACGTGACCGCCGCGCCGGCGCGCGCCGCGTGCTGCGCCTGGCTGAGCTCCATGAGGGGCAGCACGAGGCCGTACAGCGCCGCGGAACCGAGCGTCATGGCGAACCCGGCGTAGTACTGCGCCCGGGACACCCCCGCGGGGCGGTCCCCTCCGCCGTTCAGCCCCAGCATGGCGGCGCCCACGACGATCAGCACCACCGCGTTCACGGAGAAGGCGGTGAACCGATGGCGCACCACCACCAGCACGAACACGGCCGTGAAGGCCAGCTGCGTGGAGACGAGGATGGAGGTGGTGGACACCGGGAGGTAGGCCAGCCCATAGGCGTAGAGGAAGTCGATGAGCCCGATCACGAGGCCGATGGCGACCGTGGCGGCCAGGAGGGTGCCCGACATGAGGGAGAGCGGGGCGGCCTCCGTGGCGCTCTCTTCGCGCTGGCGGCGGCGGCGGGAGAAGAAGGAGACGCAGAGCGGCGGGAGCAGGAGCGGCCACGCAGCGGTCTGGAGCAGGCAGGTGAGCCACTTGCGCGTGCCGCCGTGGAGGAAGTAGGCGCGAAAGAGGAGCGGGCCACACACCGTGCCAACAGCCATGAGGAGGAAGTTGACGACCACGACGGGGTTGCGGTAGAGTGGTTTAGCGCCGGCGCCGCCCCGCTGGTCCGAACCGCCACCGTCATTGTATGCTTGCTGCTGCGGGCTCAGTGGTGTCGCTTCTATCTCCATCACACGGCCGGCCGAGTGATTGCTTTGCTGTGGCCCAAAGCACGCACACGAACAAACCTTCTTCTCACTCGGCTCAACTGCCCATATACGTGCGTTATGCAGAGGGTCTTATAGGAATACGTACAATGTGTACACTAAAGGGCATCACACCCGCGGCAGTTAAGCACTAGCAGATTCATTGGACCTGGCGAGATCCGAGTTGGGATCCCGCCTTACCATTTAAAATTGTAATCCGAACATATGGCCCCTTTGCAACGGCCGAGACAAAAATAGCCATCTTTTCATACTGGAAAACAAACCAAATGCGGAAAAGATTGTGCGGCAAAAATTGTAGATAGATTTCTCTTGGCAGCAGTATGTACCCAAAGATATCATCTCTTGCGCCCAGTTGTTTACCCCACAACATGCCATCTTGTTGACCATCATCCTCAACCACTTCTCCCAGCCAAACACCCACAGGAATACCATATTCCTCTTTCCTCATCTGCGGTGGCATCCAAGGTATTATTGAAGTAGATAACAATTTACCAGGGTCGTAATTAAAAGCAAGAAAAACATACCACTCGCAATCCCCTGCCTTTCTTCCTTTTTGCTCACTTCCACTGACCATAAGCATCAAAGTATTATCCTGAGAGACGCACAGACCTTGAACCTCATCTGTCATAGATCCATCATTCCTGTTATGTACAACAGGGGACTGCTTCACCAGTTCAGTTGTAGATTCTGAACTCCCAACCAAGGTCCGAATTGATTTCAATCCTTGCAATTGCGGAAGCATCTCCATCATACCCAGTTGCTTGTGCGCGACCCGGATTGCTACCTAAATCGTCGACTCGACCCCTGCTGCCCCTTCATCTTCTCCGCGTCCACTGGAATCGCCTTGCCTGCTGCTGGCATAACATGCTTCTTGTCACCCGTCGGTCTCAATCCAACCCTCTTGAGCCTTTGATCTCTCCCAATATTTCCAAGGTCATGCCCCAGCCAGTCGCTAGCTCTCGCACGCATCTGATTCAAACATCCCATCGGATTTTTGGATCGCTGGAGAATATCCACCGCCCTCCGTTTAAAAAGTCTCCACTCGTCACCGGTAGTGACGCCGCCCTGAAACCGCACCTCCTCGGGAACCACAAAACCTTCCATGGCCAGCATCACCAGCGGAGCTTCACTTCCCCTTCGCCGCCATCTCCACATCCACCTCTGCCGAGCCGTAAGTGATCCTCCACTCTGAATCCTCCCCCAGAAATCTCGGAAGGGATTGGATTATTGTAGATTAGATAGAAGAGAGATTGAATGGAGGAAGGGAATCAGGGAAAGAGGATAGGGGAAGCTAAGATCTGAGATCAGGAAAAAAACGAGGATTAAAAATCAGAGAGTAGAAATGGGAGGATGGACGGCATAACGCCAGTCGCCGGCAAATCGCCCAAATCGCCACTCGGGATACTGTAGCAGGGGAAAGTCACCGCTTATGTTCCCGACTGCAAATCATTTTCGCCAACTGCCTTGGAAGATGCACAGATGAGCAATTTGAGCACATACTTAAAATTATTAAGAAGTTGATTAGGGGCTGGTCTCCAAAGCTCCTAAATAGCGCTGGGAGGGAAGTTTTAATCAAGGCAGTCCTTCAAGCCATTCCAACCTATTCTATGAGTTGTTTCCGTCTCTCCAAAAATATGTACAAAAAGATCACAACTGCCATTGCGAGGTTTTGGTGGGGAGGAAATGAAAATACGAGCAAAATGCATTGGAAGAAATGGAAGGATATTGCTGCTCCCAAATGTGTGGGTGGTATGGGCTTTAAAGACCTTGAGTTGTTCAATCAAGCAATGCTTGCTAAACAGGGTTGGCGACTTCTCATACAACCGGATTCACTCTGTGCCAGGGTGATCAAAGGCAAGTATTTTCATGATGTTGATTTTATGACGGCGACAAGGAAAAAGAATGCCTCGCATACATGGAGGGCAATTATGTATGGACGGGAAGCTCTAACTCATGGCCTGATCAAACGTATTGGTGATGGTAGCAATACTAGAGTTTGGGAGGATCCCTGGATTCCTTCAAACTTGGGTTTTAAACCCCTTTTACGTCTTCAAAACTCGACCGTGAATATGATCGAGGACTTGATCGACCCGTACAATGGAGACTGGAATAGAGAGGTTTTACAGAATAATTTCCTTCCTATTGATGCGGCTGCTGTGCAAATGATTCCTTTGGGAAGGATGGAAGAAGATAACTGGGCATGGCATTTAGAGAGAAGTGGAAATTTCAGTGTCCGGTCAGCTTACAGGGCAATGCTTGGTGCTCGGCAGCAAACAAATAATATAGCTAGCTCGGCAGGTGATGATAGAACATTTTGGAAGAAGCTTTGGAAGATGCCTTTACCCCCAAAGGTCCGTAATTTTTGGTGGCGTGTGATTAGGAAGTTTATCCCATGCCGATCTATTCTGAAGGAAAGACATATTGAACAAATCAGTTTCTGCGAGGATTGTGGATGTGAAGAAACAATCACTCATTCTTTGTTCGATTGTACATGGGCTAGGCTGTTTTGGCATCAAATAAGGAACATGTTGGGTGTCAAACTTCCTCGTTTGCATCCGGACTCATGGGCGATGGATATGATTGATGGAGGTATGGTCAGTGATACAGATGCCGCTGTCATCTTATGTGGATGTTGGTCTGTATGGTCAGAGCGCAATGCAAAGAAGCACGGAGATAAAGGGCGGTCGATCCAATGCTCGGTGAAATGGACTGCTGATGTGACTATGGATTTGATAATTTCATCAAAAGAAGGAAAGAAAATGCCTACTAAGGCTGACGATAAATGGCGACCCCCGGAAATTAATTGCACTAAGTTGAATGTGGACGCAAGTTTTTTGGCTGATTGTCTCCAAGGAAGTACAGGGGTAGGTGTGCGCGATCATGAAGGTAAACTCATTCCTGCCCAGGCACTATGGTATGAACATGAAGCCAATTCTTTTGTTATGGAGGCGTTGGCTATTAGAGATGGAGTCCGACTTGCAGGTAATATGGGTCTCCCGAACATCATCGTTGAAACTGATGCTTTGGCTATTACGAAGCTCTGGAATACCAATAATTTTGGGCGTTCAGAAATTGCTATTGTGCTTCAGGAAAGTAAAGAGCTTTCAGAGAGTTTTTAGTTTTTTGTTTTGTCTTATGTTCCTAGAAAGGCTAATGAGCTTGCACATCTATGTGCAAGGCAAGCTAATCCTCATAGAAAGTGTTGTGTCTGGATAAATTTTATTCCTAGATTTCTAGAGGCTTGTCTGTACAAGGACTGTAACTCTCTGTCTTGATCAATATAGCTCTTTGAACTGCAAAAAAAACGACTATCCTCAAACCTCCCATATCCGTACGGACCACAGAAGCCATGCAACACGGTTTGTACTGGTCCATGGCGCGGTCCGGACGTAGTTTTTCCCGTAAATTGAAGACAAACGTGGGGGAACTTTCGGGAGTCTGGACCACTCACACGTCCGCTTCTGACCACCCTGGTCTACCCAAACCCCTTCCCCCTTGCCCGGGCGCGTTTCCGTCCGGCGCCAGCTGCCCGCATTTATGCCGCTGCAGAGCATGCCGCTCCACATTGAAGACGGTTCACGGCAGACACGACCTCTCACTGCCTTCGCCATTGAAGCGGAGCGCCGGACGAGGGCGCCGCCCGAGACACATCTCCGGTGTCCATGCCTATTCAATGCCAGACACGCGTAACTGGACGGGACATGACATATATGTACCACGCCCGTTCAATGCCCCGTTTGTTCATATGCCGCAGGCAGGCTTGCTGGCCGAGAAACCCACTCTGACGCCGCGTATTGACGCACCCAAACACCTGGCCTCACCGGAATCCGCTATTCAAAGGTGGCCACACCCAGTCAATTACACTCAACAACACAAGTCGCTCCCCATCCTCCTGCTTTGCACTGCATCTGCCATGACTGCAGGCGGCGAAGCCCTTGCTGCCGCCTAGCAGAGGCGCCGTGCTAGGCGATCGAGGCCGGCTTGCCGGCCAGCTCGCCCGAGGTCTCCGACGATGGGGGTGACATCACGATGGAGACGGGCTTCGATGATCGCCCAGGTTACCGCACCTCATGTGCACACCAGCTTCACCATGGAGTAGGCGCAGATGCACTACAAGGCCGCCATAGGGGAGGTGTAGCCTGGGTCAGCACCTTTGTCGGTGTTCCAGTAGGCGCAGGAGGAACAACGGTACAACCTGTTCATCCTGGAGCAGCATCGGCTAGTGGAGGGCCAGATCTACGACGAGCGTGCGAGCGAGGAGGCCGTGACGAACCCCAACTTCATCATGAAGCAGCATGCCATCTACGATGTCGTCCGCGCTCAAACCGCTGCTCGCCAGGAAGCGGCAGCCACGGAGGCGCAGTTGTAGGCAACCACGGAGGAGAACAACTCCAGGTGCGCCTCCTACGCGCCACTACCACCATTTCCATCGTGGGATGGCGACAGTGCCGGAGCCACCATTTCCATCATGGACCTACGTCCACCGGCAATGGAAGGGTCACAGACTCCTCCGAGGATGAGTAGGCCACAGGAGGTGGCAGGGCCTTATGTCCCATGTGGACCGGTCCATCTCCCGTGTTCTACTCTTCCCCGTCGGAGACCGCACCTTGACTTCACGGGTCTTATCGCCGGTGCTCATGGAGACGACGGATGAAGGACGACATGGGCTTGGACGCCAGCCAGCGCTGCCATAGGATATGTTTAGGGTCGGGTCGTTTTTTTTATTCTAAATGATCAAAATGTAATGAAAGTCCGCATTGTCTGTATGAAATTCATCATGTTTATATGAAATAATACCTTTTTGCGGTGTGTTTGCCGAGATCCGATGAATTGTATTTATGATCAGCTTATCTATGCATATTATTTGAGTCTTATCTGAATTTATATGCATGATTTGATATCTTTGCAAGTCTCTTCGAACTATCGATTTGGTTTGGTCACTAGATTGGTTTTTTCTTGCAATG